CCTGCTCAGGGCTCCAGGGCCCCCCATTGCCTCCTCCCATTAGCCATGCTCTCCGTGATGGGCGTATTTCCCCCCGCTTCTTGCTGAGCTGTTCCTCTTGTCGCAGGGGCTCCAGGCCTAGTCGGGCTGGGTGCTCCCTGCAAGGTCAGACCAAGGTCGGCCGGCAACTCGGCTGCTGCCGGAGAGAGGATACGCCCGGTGTGCTATCCGCATGCAAAAGCCCCCCCCCCCGCTCTCTTTTTTCTCTTGAGAGCGGCTTGGGGCATGGCTCCAAAGCTTTGCTACCAGTCGGTGATGGGAGAACCCTTTTTGGGGGGAAGGAAAAAAGGGGGAGTGGGGTGGAATTAGGTTGGAAAGGCCTCCGGAGGCCTAGGGACGATTGCAAAAGCCTACTACAGTCCTTCCCCCACCCGCCCACCCCCGGGCACACCCACAACGTGGACACCACACCGTTGGCACATCAGGCGTGCGCTGAACAAATTGGGGTTGCCAGAATTTGCCAGCTTTTGCATCATTCCGTTCCATTTAGCACCGGCGTTCAGGCAACCTGTGTCGCGCAGTTCCTGGATTCACCTGTTTTCTGGGATTTGCACACACGCACAAGAATCCTGAAATGTAAGCAAACAGGTCGAGCGTACAGATGATGTCATGCCGGCAAATAACGAAGAAGGGATAAAACTCACGTCGGGGGCATTTTAAGCCGAATCGCTCCGGCATCCAATGGGCTGCACGTGTTGTGGGAACCTGGCTTCTCTTTCTAGGATTCTGTGCCAGAATGAGAGGGGGGAAAAAAGAGAGAGACCCCCCCTCCCCAGTCCATTAGCCACTCCTTTTTTGGCAGAAATGGCCAGGGAGCCCCCTCCTCAATACTGCTGAACCTTGAGTGAAATCCGCCTTCTGATTGGGGAGGAGGAGCTGGCTCAGAATTGGGATCCAGCCCCACCCCATAACCTGTCCAAATTGCAGCCGTCCCCAAGGCAGGAATGGAAGGAGCGGAATGGTCCCTCTCCCTTTCCGTCGCTTGCTTTGTTCCTAGATTTCTCTCCCCCCCCACCCCCCACAATCCCCTCCCCTCGCTGCTGCCCGGGCTCCTGGTATAACCAGCAACCTGCCTTTTGCAAGCAGGGAGGTTTTTCCGCAGATGGCAAAAAATGCTGAATTTTTGCCCAGTTCCTTGCTAATTACAGTTGTATTGCTTCTTGTGTTGCGTTGATCATTTGCTACTAATTGCATTAATTAGCTTGGCGTTGTTTTGTCACCAGTGCAGGCTGTGTGTGTGTGTGTGTGAGCGCGTGCGTTCTCCCTTTCTTTTGTCAATCTTGGCTTCAGATAAATTCCCCCCCCCCTGCCAACAGATGTCACCCACGCTGATGGAAAGGGGGGGGGCTGCAATCACAGCTCTTTCCCAAAGAACCATGGAAGGAGGGGGCTGCCTCCTTTACCTGCCTGAGTCTGCTAAGGGTCTTAGCTCCCCTCTGGTAGGAAGTGGGCACAGTGAGAGAATTGCATGGTTCCAAGGGGGGGGGGCTCACCCCCTTCCTTGGGCCACAAGCCCTTTCTGGGTTCCTGGAATTTTACCTCCGTTCCAGGATAAATCCATTTTACTTTCTGTTTCGTTTTTAAATAGTTATCTATATAGGCTGCCCAATAAATAATACGTTTCAGGGCAGCTAACTGAACATCAAATATTTTAAGAAGTCAAGGATAAAACACAATCACCCCAAATAACAAACACTGAGACGAGATTTCTTGCGGGCTAAAAAAAGTAATAAAGAATGTAATAAAAGCAAATTACAGACCATTAGTGATGGGGACCACCATGCCCCCCCCCCAGTCACAACAGCACCTATATACCCAGATGAAGCCCCCATAAAATTTCAGAGAAAGGTGCTTTGGTAGTTAGCAGTCACAGATGGCTTCTGTTTGGTGGCTAAGGGCCCAATTAGCTGGTCAACAACATGGGGAATCGTGTAAAATTGATTAAATGATCAATAATAATCCCTTGCTTCTCCAGGGAGAGCTGGGAGAGGCCCTGCCTGCATTTCAGCTAGAAATAAAACTAAACGCTGATGACAATAATTAAATCTTTGAATGAAAGATGACTGGGAGGGGGTCAGCCACAGGAGGCTCCTATAGCCCTTCTGAGGGGTGGTTTGTGTATACACAGATTTTCCTAAAAGGGGGCAGAGGTCTCACGAGTGTCCAGTCTCAGGCAATTCTTGCAGCCCTTATGAGGTTGTTTATGTAAGGATGTCAAAGTCTTGAGACTCATCGGTCTCTTGAATTGCGCTCCGCTTTTCTCCTTTGGCGGCAGATACAGGGAGAAGAAAAAGAGAAACAGAACATAAAACTTAAAAGCATGAATGAAAAGGGATACTAAAATTGGTATTAAAAGAACTTACGGATTAAAAGCCTGACAAGTTAAGAGTCGCTAAAGATAAAATCATTCTTTCTTAAGGAATGGCATCCTCCTTGGGACACTGTTGAAATAACACAAGTTTGGGGGCTGTTTTTAAATATTTTAAAAATAGGGAGGTAAGGCACCCTGTCTCTCCCTTCCTCCTTTCCCAATTCTTTCTTTCTTTCTTTCTTTCTTTCTTTCTTTCTTTCTTTCTTTCTTTCTTTCTTTCTTTCTTTCTCCCTTCTTTCCGTCCCTCCTTTTTCTCTCTCTCTTTCCTTCTCTCTCTTTTCTTTCTTTCTCCCCTCCCTCCATTCTTTTTCCTTTCTCTCTCTCCCTAATTCTTTTTCTTTCTTTCTCTCCTCTCTTCTTCCCTCCTTTTCCCTCTCCAATTTTCCTTCCTTCCTGCCTCCTTCCCTTTCTTTTTCCTTCTTTCCTTCCTCCATCCCTTGTCAACTCATAAATCATTCCTATGCCTGTTTCTGAGTTTCCATCCCTCTGGCATCCCTCTCTCCCACTTTTTCCTTCTTTCCTTCCTTCCTCTCACTCCAATTCTCTCCCTCTCTCCAATTCTTTTATTTCCTTTCTTTTCTTTTCCTTCTTTCTCTCCCTCCAGAGTTTGTTTATCTGTGCTACATAATGGCTTTTCAGAAATGTGCATAAATCATGCACAAATTGGATTGCAGAAACTGGAGTTTTAGAGGGGATATCAGACCAATCAGATTTTTTATTTATTCTCAGTTTAGTGTTTTATTTCTATAAGTATTGTGCCTGATACTTGCATAACCGCTTAGAAATGGATACATGGGAAATGGTATAAACGGTGCCAGATGAATAAATGAAGAAGGATGGCGTTGGGCTTATGTATGAAGATAGTTTTAGTATAAAATAGGAGGAAATCTTGAAGGCCGTGTATTCCAGCCCTCAGCTTAATGCAACATATTCATAATATTACCTGAAATATGAGTGGATTAATTCAATGGATCATTTAGTCAATGAGAGAGGAAAAAAATGAAAGACAGTCTGCACATGCTCAGGAAACCTTTGGCTTCAAAGGGTTGGGAAACTAGTATTCTTTCTCTCTCTTTTTCCTTTCTATAGCCAAGGGTTATAACAAGTTGAAATTAAATTAAACTGCTGGGATTCTCTTGAGTGCAGACACATTAGAATGGGAAAATACTGCAGCGGTTTTGATGCTGGCTGATCCATCCTTACCCAAGGGGCTGTGCTGAAGTGGTAGCAAAATGCTATAAATAACGTTAAAATCACAGCAAGTCAATTCATTTCCTAATCAGACCTTCCCTGGGATGGGGTTCGAAGCGCTCCTGTTTAAATCGGTGGAGAGGAAACCAGAATGATATCTGGACCAGTAGTCCTCAACTTATAACCAACCATTGGTTTAGTGACTATTTGAACTTACAGTGGCGCTGAACGAAGGGACCTACAACTGGTCCTCACACTTATGACTGTTATAGCATCTCCATCCTTACCTGATTAAAATTTAGGCCCTTGGCAACTGGCATGTATTAATGACGGTTGCAGTGTCCCGGGGTCATGTGATCAACTTTTGCGACCTTCTGACAAGCAAAATCAATGGAGAAGCCAGATTAAACGTAACTGCAGTAATCCTCAACATAAGACGACAATTGAGCCTAAAATTTCTACTGGTAAGAGCTAGGGGCTTAAGTGGGTTTTGCCCCCATTCTATGGCCTTTCTCGTTAAATAAGCCACTGGAGTTGTTAAGCTAGTAACCCGGTCGTTAAGTGAATCTGGCTTCCACATTGACTTTGTTCCTCAGAAGGTCACAAAAGGGGATTACGTGTGACGGTCGTAAATATGAGTCAGTTGCGAAGCATCTTAATTTTGATTGCGTGACCATGGGGGGGATGCAACAACCGTCATCTGTATAAAAAACAGTCATCGGTCACATTTTTCAGTGCCGTTGCAACTCTGAACGGTCACTAAACGAAATGCTGTAACTTCAGAGAGAAACTACCTGTGCTCTGTGCAGAAACTGAAAGGAACCAGGGAAAGGAAAGCCTTTGAGAAATTCCACGGCAGAATCCATTCATGATCGAGTCCCCTTTCGTGCTGACCCAGTGCTCCCAAAGGCTTTCGTTCCTTTATCTGCATTATTCATTCTCCTCTTCACCACAACCCAGTAAGGTAGGCCAATTTCCCCGCCCACCCCCCCTCCTATGGTGGATGAGGCTGAAAGAGAGAGCAACTTATCCCGGTCTGCTGTATGGCTAGATTTGTGCCTCACCTGAGACTGAAGTTAAGCAAAGCCCACGACCATGTTTGCATCGCCTAAAGGCCACGCAACCTGCGAGAGGCTGAAACCGCCCTTAGTCCAATCCCATCCAAAGCTCCTAAGGGAGTGGGCTTTGCTTTCTTCTTTGATGGGGGGGCGGGGGGGGGTATGGTTCAGTTTCAGTCTTTAGCCCAGGGAAGTTGCATTCGTTCATTTTAAATTCGCACCCTTGCTCTTCTGCTCATCCCATCTGTTTTGCTGGATTATAACCTTAATTTTCTTTTCTTTCCTCCTTCCTCCTCTCTCTTTCTTCTTCACCTGTTCCCTTGGTTTGGGCATCCTTGCAGAAGAGCTCACGATGGAAGGTGAGTAGATTTTCTCCTGAGGTTTCTTTGGAGGTGTTATATTGTGGGAGGGGGGAGGCAGGAGGGTTTGCGATGGTGCCGAAGATTGTGGGGAGTTCCTTCCCCACACACCCCCTGAAAGTAGAGGTTGTGTGTATATGTGTGGCTTCATATTTTCTCCCACTTTGGATTCGCTCTCTATGTGGTGGTCTCTGGGTACAGGGAAGGGGGTCTGTCTGTGAATTATTTTCCCTCTTGTTATTTGCATTTGATGAAAGTCCCTTTACAGCCGAGCAGCCGAGTTTTTCTTCACGGGGGAACTTTTGGGGGAAAGTGTGGATTTGCTTGTCATCCTTTATTGGACAATTTTGATTCTGTCTAGCACTTTCCATAATGTTCCCTCCGCCCTCCAACCCAACTACAGGACAGGCAGTCCTCGACGTACGACCACAACAGAGCCCAAAATTTCCCTTGCTAAGCGAGACAGGTGTTTAAGTGAGTTATGAACCATTTGGGATTTCCGCCTTAGTTCAACGGCCTGCCAAATTCTGCGCCCTGAAGGGAAGCCTGGGAGAAGTTTTGCATGGGTGCGGAGAGAACAGAGCTAAATTTCCTTGAAGTTTAATTAAACAAGGGATTTAATTCAGCAGAGTGATATAATGACTCACTATATATTGAGCAAGCTCCCCTGGGGTCACAGCGAACGTTACAACTCATTGACAACTTGAGCAGTGGCGAAGGGCCAGGAGAAACTCTGAGATTCGGTGGGGAATCTCCCTGATCCAAGTCTGTAAGCACGCACGTCTTCATTTCAGAAAATCCCAAAATTTGAGAGAGAGAGAGAGAGACATAAAGGCCCTGGTGGGAGCAATTACAAACTGCAGCCGATGAGACATTCTGTGAATACAAATCCTTACCTTTAGATCTCAGATGATAATTCTCCACCTGGTTAGCAGGATCGCCCTTAGTGTGGGCTGACTCACCACCCAGGCTGAATGTTGATTGTTCTTGTTCTCTTAAAAAAAGAAAATACAGGGGACATTGGCCTGCTGAATACAAAAGCAACTGGCTCCGTATTACCTTTATTTCGAAAAGTATTTCCCGGGCTGGGCGTGGCCAGGGGAAGCCCATGGTCTGCCCATCTATTCAGAAAAAAAGAAAAAAAACCAAGCTAAAGTGCTTGATAAAGAGCACTGTGGGCAAGCTAGATGGCACCTGTGTTTTACAATTTGTTTTCTGCGGTCTGTGTGTGTGTGAGAGAGAGAGAGAGAGATAGAAAGACATAATAGCCATTTTGTGAGAGCGCCCACAGCACCCACTCTCAAAATCTGATCTATCCAATGGAAACTAGGTTCCTTTTTGCTTTTGATTCCTGGAATTCCCCAGTCAGCAGGCTTTGAGAGGGGTGAGCTTCCATTCCCAGAATTCCCCAGCAAGCATTCTTTAGGATGGGTGGACTTCAACTCCCAGAATCCCCCAGCCAGCCTGCTTTGAGATATATGGACCC